ATTTCAGTTGGGGAGTTCCACAGGGGGCTGTTTTGGCCATGTTGTTATTCAGTGTCTAAAAGAAAAGATATTTGAATGATGGAAGAAACTATGGGCTTTAAAAATCTGTGGCTGATGGACAACTGGGCAGGAGTGTAAAAGCCCCAGAGGATAGGATTAGAATTTACAAAAATCCTGGCAAATTAAACAGCTTATCCAAAAACAACAGTGTGCAAGAAAAATGCAAGAATACCACCATAAAATGCACATAAATAAAACAGAAATAGTTGGATATATAGCAGAAGCACAATTTTTTAACAGAGACTAATTCTACAAGTTCCAGTACAGCATAGACAATTTCTTTAATAGATCCCACACTACTGCTTCTCAAACATTGAAATTTCAGGACCTATTTAGGCATACCATGGCTCCTTTCCTGTATACTCTATACACCTGATATTACTTTTAAAGACAAGTAGATAAGGGAAGAGTAAGGATTTACTTTGGTAAATAATAAGAACATACTGCAAGGTGTGCAACTGAGCATCATGAACATTGAACTTAAAAAGGCATCTGCCCTGAAGTCCAGATGTAGCCATTTCAGCACATAAACAAAAGGGACGAACAAAGGAATACCACAAGAAATGGTCTTTAATAGAAAGCATTTGAGAGTATTGTCATGTAAAATATGGGTTCTATGCTGTGTCAGGGAAGACCAAACTGTAATATTTTGGCAACAAAACTGGGTTTTCAATTAAAATTAATACTGAGAAGAAGGGGAAAGTAGGTATTTTATGCAAGTATAGATTATCTGCCAAGAAGTTTATGTAGGTTATTATGAATATAATTTCCATAGGATAATTGAATTGCATACTTTTTTGAACTCTTAGGTTTTGATCTATGTAAACCTGTATTTTGTTATAAACCAGAATATTCCTTCAAGAGGTTAAAAAAATGGGATTATAAAATTTAATTTCTTCAACAGGCATGTTTTGTGTCTTTTCAAGACATGTTATGAGGTTGACAAAGGTTTTCATTCAGCAAGAACAGAAAAAGGATGTAAAATGTCTACTGTTGGAATATTGCCATAATTAAAGCACATGGATCTAACACAGATTTAGGAATAAGCAGTATTTGGCAGGTTTTTAAGTGAAAGGGACACAGTTACCAGGAAAATTAAAGAGCAGTCCTAAACAAAATTAATTCCTATTCTTCTTAATTTAGGCTTTACTTGAATCTGTTTCCAGTTGTGAAAGAACTAGATAACACAATAATCTATGAAACTACTACTCGTCTCTTTATCATTATGTTGTCCCTCTAAAATCCAAGAAATTTCTTAAAAAGAAATAGAAGAGGGATCTTGTATTCATAGAATAATAGAATCATTAAGGTTGGAAAAGACATCTAAGATGATCAAGTCCAGCCTTCCACCCAGCACTGCTGTGTTCACCACCAAACTATTTCCTCAAGTACCACATCTACAAGTTTTTGAACACTTCCAGGGATACTGATTTCACCACTTCCCTGGGCAACCTACTCCAATGCCTGACTACCCTTTCAGTGAAGGAGTTTTTCTTAAAATCCAGTCTAAACCTCCCCTGTTGCAACTTGAGGCCATTTCTTCTTGTCCTGTCACTTGTTACCTGGGAGAAAAGACTGACGCCCAACCCACTACAACCCCCTTTCAGGTATTTGTAGAGGGCAATAAGGTTCCTTCAACCCTCATTTTCTCCATGAAAAAATACTTTAGACATGCAAAAATTAACTAGATATTGCAGTAAAAAAATTAAATTAAACCTCAATAAAATTTTAAAAATTCCTCTTTCATAGCCTATTTGGAAAATTCCTTATTACTAATTATATTCTCCTTTTGGAATTAATATCTCAGGGTGCTACTATTAGGACTGAAATAAGATTTTGGACAATGTTTTTCCTGGGACTGAATTTAATTATTTCAGTTTGTTGATACTTGCTGCAACCTTTGCACAAGGAAATCAGAATTAATGGGAGCAAAGTGGTAATACATGCTGTTAGAATTCCTACTGGAATTTGTCTTGGTAATCATCATCATAAAAGTAATGGAACTTTTTCTGATTGCTGGATTATAACCAGTAGTTTAAATTCAAATTGAAAAAGACCACTGAAAACAGCATTTTAATCCCTTTTATTTTTTTTCCCTGACCCATTGAAAGAGTGGTACAATATCATTGCCCAGTGATGAGTCATCATAAAGAAATGGTTACTGCCTGGTAGTTCCCACAGTGCCTTTAAATAAGTGAAGTTGTGAAAGGAGATTAAAAATGCAGTAGTCTACTTAGTTAATGGTCATTATCAGTGGTTTTTAATTACATAATAATGTCGATAGAATAAAGCATTTTCATACAAACCTCCTGCTTGTTTTCTAAAATTATGGTGATTGAAGGTCTTGTGAAACTTAAATAAGGGAAAGCAAGCCTTAAAATCTTGGCAATTGTTGAGGAAACATCCTGCAATAGCGGGAACTGGCTAAGCATTTAAATGTTGCTGAATAATGTCCTTGAGTTGTATGCCTGCAAACTTAGAGAATAAATCACTTTTTACTTTAAATTAAACCGAATTACTTCCAGGAGGTAAAATTCCTGTTCTCTCCAAAGTGCAATTAATTTGCTGGCAATGCATTATAATGAACTATCAATATTTTGGTTTTTATATACATAGAAATAATACATAAAAACAGCACTTTTCATCTATACCTGAGAACATTTAACCAGAACACCCAAGATGAATTTGTGGAGCAGGAAAGTTTGTGGACACAAAGAATTTCCAGCTTTTCTAGATCAGTGTTTTAGTTCACAGCACAACTAAGCTTATGCTTGAGGATTATTAACCTACAATTTCCTCATTTAAAGCACTTGGGAGTTTTCTGTGTAATGGTCGGATGCTGCTACAATCAACTGACACTGTAGGGAAGGTAGTAATACACGGGTTTTTGCAACCAATTTCAATCCTATGTAAATTTTTTTTCAGCTGTTTAAAACTATAGCAAAACAGTCTAGCACAAATGTCCCCCCCCAACAGATTCAAAATAATAAAATAGAAAAAAAGATGCTGCAAGACAGGTTAATTTAAACTCTTTTGGACCATCTGCTTGCAAAGTATATTTGAATTAAGAGACATATTTTCACTTGCTCTGTGATTATCCTGTTAGTGGTCATGTTCTGTTGTCACAAGACAAGGGAAGGGAAGAAAAGTACAAAATACAAAAGAATGTAATGGGAAAATTTGTTTGGAGAGATAAGAGTAAGTCAAACTTTTAAGATAGGAACTTTTTTGGAGCTTTTTTTTTCCTCTTGTTTCTCCATAGAAATATAATGGCAATATTGAATGATTACTTCTGCAGTGACAGAACAGAGTGTTCAGCAGGTTGAGAGACCTAAGACAAGAATGTGGTTTTGTGGTGGAAATTTAAAACTTTCAAAATGAAGCCAAACTGACTATTTTAATATAAAGAAAGGCTAAATGTATACACTTTTATCCTCAGGTTCTTTTTTTGAATATGCCTAAAATGCTTGGGGAAAAAAAATCTGCCAATCCTTGAGCCATGAAAATAAAAAAAAAAGAAACCAAATGAAACAGCATAACTCAACAACAATGCCTGAAAAGAAACAAACAAACAAAACAACCAACCAGACAACCAAACAAAAATCAATCAAAGAAAAACCTATACAATGAATAAAAAAACCCCAAACCCACAAAACTAATTTATCTAATGCAAACACCATGGAAAAACTGTTAGAACTTGGCAACACTGCAAGCACTGAATGGATAATCTGTTAATAGGATGTCTTGAATAATCTTTAGATTACAGAGACATACTTCCTCCAGAGCATACAGATTATCACTATAGCATTTAATATTCTGCTTTTATATGTTAATTACCATTAGCATAAAACTAGCATGAATTTTATGTCATGTTTATGCACGATTTTTCAATACATCCTTCTTTTCTTTTGTTCAAAGAGAAACGTTTTTACTTTCTGTATTTTCTAATATTTATTTGCCAGATTTTAAATTTTGAGCATTAATCTTCGTTAATGTTGCACTGGAAAGTGAAAAATGTCTGTACACAAAACGTTGGAAAGTAATTTGTTGCAGGAAAATCAATTTTAGATTGTTCTTATTAAGCTAATGGGTAACCTCAAACCTTATTAATGGAATAACCATGGTTATAGTATTGATAAATTTAACAAATCTTAGCAATTATAAAGAAATGCATCCAGGTCCATGAAATGAATGTTAATTCAATGATGAATCATTTGTATTTGATGATCATAAAGGAGATTGCTGCGCTAATCTGTTTTCTTCCTCTGCTTTTGTAGAAGACATTCCTTTTTTGCATCCCCAGATTTACAAACATCCACTCCCAGTCAGACTCTCTAGTGCTCTTACTCCAATGCACTCTCATCAGCTGTCACATAGCATTCTGATGCCTTTCAAACATGAAAAGTATATCCTTTATTATTATTTTAATTATTTTGACTTCCACTCTTAGAACTAAAATCTTAGATTATAACCTGGCTTTTGTTATTACCTTCTGAGCATTAAAGTAATTTGTTTTCCAAAGCAGCTAAATATGTTCAAATAAACTTCTCAAGTCATAATTTGAGTGCTCCGGTGTGCAGTCTGAAGTCTTCTGTCTAGATATTCCTGGAGATTATTGGTTTCCACGGACATTCACAAATTCTCATTTGCAGAAGGGAGCTTATAATTAATTTTTCTTCAGAACACAATTGGGGTATAAGGAGGGGAAAACTGAACACATTTGAAAGCTTAGGCTTTTATTGGGTTGTTTTTCTGACATAAAATGTGCTTCTTTCAGAGTGTTCCAAACAAGGTTTAAGTCCATTGATTTTCATATGAGGTATATGTATGTTAATTATTTGCAGTATTGAACTACTACCATTTACTTGTTTTACTGTGTATCTAATGTCTGAATATTTATTGTAAGTGGTGACAGAAAGCTTTTGTTTTGTGTTTTTCAGATCTCAGGATAGAGCATTTTTGACTGAGTTCCAAACCTGCAAGCTCAGGGTGAGTAATTATTTATGTCATTTCTTCAGCCTGAATTGGGATGGTTCTGCAAAGAACGGTATTCTAGCAAATGATTAGTTCCATGTTTCCTGGAACACCAAAAAATAGGGTCCCCCTCGGTCTGTGATAATGTCAGCGGGTAATATCAGCGATTAATTAATCTCTTTTTGTTTCAAGACATTGAGAGGAAGAAGGATTTTTTCCCTTACTATGTAACAATAAAATGCATTCTTTTGGGGTTTTTGGTTTTTGTGCGTTTTGACTGAAGAGATCATGACATAACTGTACTTTATTGCTACATGTGTAATTTGAACATGTTGCATTTTGAGACTAATGCTACCATAGTCATCAAACTCAGAAGCTGACATAATTTTAACGTGTGAGTGAAACCATAAACCAAAGAAGTAATGATCTGCAAAAATGGCAGAGATTCTCCAGATGTAAACTGCATTTCTGTACATTAGATGCCTTGTGAGAAACCATCTTTTGAGAATGAGATAGGGCCAGGCAGCAACACTATCATGTTATAGGTTTTATCAAAATGATTTCCTACCACCAGGAGTTCATTGTAACAATCTGAGAGAGTGATAGATAAGACAGATAGCTGTTATAATGAAAAATAAATTTATTGGAATCTTGTGTTTGCTGTAAAATAATTTTTTTTCCATATAATAAGTGTTTTTGGGAAATACGTTTAACGTGAAGTCATTTGAAGAAAATATATTGATGTTAGCTTGTTCTTGAAAAATTTAATAAGTAATGTAATAAAACTATTGAGACAAACAAGCTTAAACAGATTACCAAAGTATTCTCCTGTGTTTTAAGCTTGGTTCATAATATTAAACGTAACAAAGTAAAGTGCTTGTTTCATAACAAGGGACAATATGATTAGCATGCAACTGAGATCAAACTAATGAGTAAACCTCATTTGTATAACACAAATAGCTGTCATACTTTGCATATATGGGCAGCAAACAGCACTTCTAGACAGCGGAAAACTAAGCCCAGGAGAATAGATCTGTCAGCTTTGCATTGTGATTCCACTCACTGAGTGAAGGTAGTAGTCCAAAAAGCACCATGGAAGAAACATGATATTTTGTCATGTTGCTACTTTTGTACTAAGTTACAAATTTTGAGCTCCAAACCATATTTGTGTTTCAGAGGCTACTTGTGAAAATCTATAACATAAATTTTGTAGTACCAATTATAAAAATCACATAAAATATTTTTACTGAGTATTCGGAAAACAGGATGTTTTCATCCTGTTTCTGTTGGTTTTCCATGAGATTCTTTCTTGCTCCTTTGCTCATAGTACTTGAGGAGTCAAATTGATTATTGCTATCCCCCATATTTCACAGCACAATTGTAGAATCTTCCTTGCAGTAGGTAATTTACAGGTGTCTACAGTAGATTTAGAAGTGTCTATTGTAAGTCTTTAAAATGTTTTTAAATTCAAAATCCCTCAAATCTCTTGTTTGCTAGATACCAGAATGTGTACAGGAACACAGGGCTTATTAAGATTTCTGTAAAACTTCTGTACTCATAGAAATTCTTTACCAGTAAGAAAATCTAATATTGTCAAAACTGTTAATTGTATAGATATCTGTCTCTTTAAGTTTGTTAATTTCTGGTGGTTGAGGAAACACTAGCAGTGTTTAGTAATAATACACTGAAGTGACGGTTAGAGAAATCTCATTATAATACCAGTATATTACAAAATATAAGATTCTGAGTAGTATTTTCCCTTATGTTTCAAACAACTGATGCTATATAAAATACACACAAGCATATGTGTGTATGTGTGTGTATTGTGTATAGTAAAGCTTTATTTTCAAAGAAAGAAATATAGAAAGACAATGGTATCTCATGGTTTGAGGAACCATTGTTTCAACAATGTGCTAAAACAATTGGGGTAACTGCATTAAATTATTGATAAATATAGTGAAAATATGGTAAAGGAGGTTTTTTGCAATGTAAAAAAAACTAAAAACAAACCACAAATAAAGACACCCAAAAGATACACAACAGAAATCATTAACTTTTATGCAGAAATCCAGGAAAAGAAAAAGAAAAAAAAAAACAAACACCAAACTACAAAAACCAACCAACAAACCCCTCAACCAACCAAACAAACAAAAACAACCACAACAAAACTAAAATCAGACAAACAAGAAAAATAAATAAATAAATAAATAGAACCACAAAAACATCCTTTGCCACTTATTTAAATTGGATCACTTAAGTTTAGCATACTTGGAGCAATTAAAAAATGCAGCCGATAGGAATTTAATATGGAAGAGGGTTCATTTCCAACATTATATATTATATCCTTACAGTCTATTCAAAGTAGAACGATAAATAACCTAATTAATTTCTTGTATGAATTAGTAAATTTAAATTATGTGAATTAAACGTGGCATTCTCCTCAGTGTTCTTTGTAAACTGTATGTATAGCTGATTTGTCAGAGAACTTTCTTACATTGTTTTGTTGGCCTGCAATTTATATACCTAAAAGTGATGTAGATCATTGAAACAGAACTTGGAATATTACAGACAGGTGCTGAAGTATAAAAAAATCTTTGCAAAATTTGGATCGGGTATTAAATCCCATCCTTTACTTTAAACCGTGTGTTGTGGAGTTAGAAGTTTAAACAATGGCTTGTGGTATGCCTGATTCCTGATTTAGTCATACTCTAAAACAGGACACAGACAAATCTAAGTAGTATTGACACTGTTAAAATAATAATATTGATTTTCCGAATATTACTATTTTTTTAAAGATGACATTAAATTATGTATGTATTTTAAAAAGCATTACTTAATAAAAGATTTCAACTTTCTCCTTCATATAAGTTTGTGATCATTCTAATGAATGTTAAAAGAAAAAAAAAAGGAAAAAGAAAAAAAAAAGAAAAAGAAAAAAAAAAGGGAAAAATAACTGATACAGAACTAACAGATGAAAATAAATATTTTATTGGAAAATGGATACCAGAAACTTACCCAACCTTATTTCAAGGTCATATCCATATGAACCCCTAATACTCAGTATTTATACTCTTATATAACATAATCAACAATTAAAAATAAAAAACCACATAAAAAAATGAACCTACACACACACCCTATCATCTTACCTCTTTCTTCTTACAATTTTTTCCAGTCCTCTCCTAGTTCAGTTCTAAATTTTTTTGAAATCCTTTCACACATAAACTTTTATCTATTGCCTCATGTGATTGAAGAAGGAACACAAAATTTCAGTCCTTGGCCAATTTTCTGAAAAAACCCCCGCCAATCATCCAGTTAAACTTGCAATATATTCCATTAGAGGTAATTATTAAATTTAAGAAAAAAATGCAGTGGGAGAAAACAGTAACATCTGTTTCCTGACACCTTGTGGATGATGAGTCTGTAAAGAGCAATATGCAACCACAAAAATTTTGAAAGATATGTCCCTATTCTTAGGTTATTGAGCAGCTGAATCAATTCTGATAACTTTCCATAGTAGTCTTGTTTACATTTTTGGTAGTTTCTTATCTTGGATACTTGAAGCAGTATCCAGGAAGGAAGTAGACATGGAGAGTGGGCTCTAGTTTTATTTTATGTTCAGCTTGTGATGTCTTTTTCTACTAGATGACATTTATGAAAATAATTTCCTTGTCCATCAATCTGTGTGTGGGGCATCACAATTCATCATCCCTGAAATGTCATAATTTCTAATTTTTTGTAATATTAATTTACATTATCTAGAAAAGCAATATAACAACAAACAAACAACTTTTTTCCCATCTTAAAATTATTCTTTTTGAAGACAGTATTTGCAGACACAATCTTAAAATCTCATTTTACCTGAATTTCTCTGGGTGCTGTATCACAAATTATAAGGTACATTTCTATAGATATGCTTACATGTTCACTGGAAAAACCTTACTCTAGATACTGCATTTTACTCTGTATTTGGAAAACTTTACTTCTCTTTACCTACTTACATCGGAATGAGTGGACATAAATACAAACATAAAAGGGCATGTGTGTTTAAAAGTGTATTAGTCTTCCTTAATGCATTCAGATTTGATCCTGTTCAGTCCTTAGTGTGCATTTGTGCTTTATAAATAGACATGTACACATGCATACATACAAATATGTATTTATATATTTCCAATGTGACAGGTAATGTTTTCTTAAAAGCACTGTAAAAGCATTTAACCACTTGTTCTTTTAATGAAAATTTTAAGCATACCTGTAATATAACAGTGGAAAGTAGTACAGCAAATTTATCTTTTAATACTCTCAGTACTGGGTTCACTAGTGTGTGAAATGATATGGATAGATATTTTGCAGGTCATGACACAGCAAAAGTAAAAGGTCGTATGTAAATTAGGAGTAGTTCTGGGTTTCTTTTACTGTTCTTTTTGTCTTTTTTTACAGTCACAAAAAATTACTCCTGCTGAAATATATTTTATCTTTCTAAAGGATTAAAATGTTCCACCTAAAAAATTATTTCTTTTATTTGAAACACAAAATAGTCACCTATTTAATTTTTTTGTTAAGGAATAGCGCCAATTAAAGTTAACCAACTTGCATAAAATGTGAAATGGAAAAAAATACGCCTTTATACTGAAGACAGCTTTCATTTTTTAATAAGCATATTTTGAATATATTGATTAAAAAGTCCTACCGTGGCCACAGACCCAGGCAAATTATTATTAGAATGATGATATGCAATCTTGATGACATTCTGTCTTTTGCACCTCTGAGAATGTCATTATATCTTTTGAGACTATCATTATTTTTGAAGTTAAAAATCAGCCTTAAAAGAAGTTAAAATCAGCATTTTCAGATGGGTGGAGCTAAACATGTAGTGAGAGTAAATCTCTTCTAATGTAAACCAGACCTACACTACAATCCTACAGTGATGACTATATCCTGTTCTTTAAAAGGAACTTTGCTAGTTTTCAGCCAAGAATTATTGCACTTTGAAACTTGCTTACAGACTAGGAGAC